CACCATACACACTGTTCCTTTATGATAGACAGGGTTCATCTATTCCCCTGCTCTAAACTTAATTACTTTGCAATTAATTCTTTGTTGAAAATAGCAAGGCTCCTAAACTCAGAACATCTCATTGTGAGAAAGGCTGTTTATGGATAGAGGTCAAGAGGATGTATTGGAATATTCCGCAGCGCTGCCACAGATATTTTGAATGAAAACAGCAAGAGAGAAAAGGCCCATTCCAAATGAGTTTGCCATGGAAAGTGAGGCTTCTTCCCAAACTGAGTTCAGAATTTTAAACTTAGGACGATAGAAAAATCTCATTGCAGTCATCTTAACACTTCACATTTTTCTAGGGTTCACCTTGTGGCAACCACGCGCTCATGAAATGTTTTAGTTAATCCTTATAAAAGTCTTCCCAGCTAGGTATTATGAACACTATCTCATAAATGACATAATTTCTTAAGATTATACAGATGGCCCCTAAAGGAATTCATTTCATGTGGTCATTGCTGAATAGTTGGCATACATAAGATCGTTGAATCCATTATGCCAGTTTTACAGATGAGAAAAGTGAGGCTTTGAGAAGTGACTTGCCCAGTGTATTATAGCTGTTAAGTGCTAATCTCAGCCTCAGACTCCGTTGTCTGGCTGTGTTGTCAGCTGTGACCCTAAATTACTTCCCTCCCAAAGTCTTTGTCCTTATCTTCCACCAGCCTGGGAAGACAGTCTTTCAGGGAGGGCCCTTCATGTCACTTGGTCAAATAAGTGTTCCTTGGAAGGAGCTCAGAGGAAATTACAGAAGTGTGCCCTTTATGAGAAGATGCTTCTGTCTTATGTATCCTGGGGTCTGTGAGGATCTGAGGCTGACTACTCAGTCCCTGCGGTACCCACAGCCCTTTCCAAATGCTACCTCATCAGTCTTGCCACCAGACCTTGGAAGTCAGTGATGAGCACGCTAGTGACACCAGTGGAGGAGGCCACCATCTTTCTCTTGTACAAAAATGGGTACATAGGACAAGACTGGGAAAAATCAGAGCCTCGGCAGTCAGGGTCAGGCACTTCCTGTAGCACGTGCTGCAGAGCAGGGTCTGGGCGCTGCTGGGGGTTCCCACGTAGTAAATAACAGATGAACGTTGTTGAGTGTGCAAATGAATGAATTCTCACAGTTATAAGGGCAGAGAAGAAGCAGTACATTGGTGAGTTCAAAATACTTTGTGCACTTTACCCTAACTTTAGAGAAACTGAATCTCCAATGAGAAGTTTCTCTGTGAGACCCTGTGAGGCAGTGATACCAGCTCACTTCCTCTGTGCAAATTTTTTTTTTAATTTATTTATTTATTTTTGGCTGCATTGGGTCTTCGTCGCTGCCCACGGGCTTTCTCTAGTTGCGGCAAGCGGGGGAACACGGGCTCTAGGCGCGTGGGCTTCAGTCGTTGTGGCACGTGGACTCAGTAGTTGTGGCTCGTGGGCTGTAGAGCGCAGGCTCAGTAGTTGTGGCGCACAGGCTTAGTTGCTCCGCGGCATGTGGGATCTTCCTGGACCAGGACTCAAACCCATGTCCCCTGCATTGGCAGGAGGATTCCTAACCACTGCACCACGAGGGAAGTCCTGTTAAGTTCACTGACTTAACGAACACTTACGCAGCCAGACACGGTCCTAAAGGCTTTACAAATATCAATCCATTTAATCTATTTTATTTTTTTAACTTCTACTGACGCCTCTGATCCTCGATGCTTCTTGTCCCAGCCCCTCTTCAGAAACTTAACATATGAAGCATTATTTTGTGTGTTACAGTGCTTACAGGAAGATAAGGTACTCATATAGAACCATGCATTTCTTGAAGGCATTCCCTTTTTTTTAAACTTTTTACTTATTTATTTTTGGCTGTGTTGGGTCTTTGTTACACACGGGCTTTCTCTAGTTGCGGCGAGCAGGGGCTACTCTTCGTTGCGGTGCACGGGCTTCTCATTGCGGTGGCTTCTCTTGTTGCGGAGCACGGGCTCTAGGTGCTCAAGCTCAGTAGTTGTGGCTCACGGGCTTAGTGGCTCTGCGGCATGTGGGATCTTCCTGGACCAGGGCTCAAACCCGTGTCCCTTTCATTGGCAGGTGGACGGACTCTTAACCACTGCGCCACCAGGGAAGTCCCAAGGCATTCACTTTTTTCCCTTTTTTTAAATTGCGGTGTAATTGACAGAAGGCATTCACCTTTGATTCATTCAGCAAATATCCCAGAGGTATTTTCTAAGGAGCTACCATGTGCCAGGCACAATGGCAGGAGCTTAGGACTCAGAAACAAAGGATAGTGTCCCTGTACTTAACAGGAAGGAGTAGTATTTTCTGACTTTGAGAGGGAGGATGGTGTGTGATAGAGGATAGGGGCGTGTTTAGACAGATAAGAAAATAAAGATCATGGGGCATGACAGCTACGAAAATAGTAAGCACAGAGAAAAAAGGCAACTTTGGGGGAATTTAGAAAAGGCACCCTTTCCTAGAGGTGGATGCAGATGCAGACCTGCACCTGGGCTCATAGATTCATGAAGGGAATATGTTCCACCCATCCTTTAACCAGTGCCCGTGAGCTGTGACCAAGCTGCACAACAGAGCAGAGGCCCGATGAAAGGTACGCTGATGGCAAAATGGAGTTTGCACTGAGTCTTGGAGGTTTTGTGGGAATTAGCCCAGGAGAGAAAAAAGGTATCGCATTCCTGGCAGGAGAAACAGAAGACCAGAAATCTCAGAGCTCTTTAAGAACGTGGAATACTTGGGGAGCTATAAAGCCTGAGAAACCAGGAGCCTTTCTTCATTAAGTAAATTCCTTGATGCCTTGGATACAGCATTATATTAGGAAAACGTTTATTGCTGGTGAAATATATCAGCAAAAAGATTCCTGCCTTTTTTTTCTTGCTTTATCTACTGGGCTGCCCTTTCTCTCTCTCACACACACACACACACACACACACACACACACACACACACACACACAAAGTAGAGGATGACTAGTTTACACCGGATTCCCACATCCTTAAGGAGTGGGTTGAAAGTATCCCTTGGATTTCTGTTCCCTGTGAGTGGAATGAAAAATTTCCCTTAAGCATCATCACATTGTCTCTGCTTCCTCCAATTTCTGCAAAACTAAAGATGTCAGGTGTTAGGGCTACGGTGAGACAGGACCAAGGTCAAACCCCTGCTCCCCTTCTCTTACTGCAGGCTTTACTTTCCCTTAAGGAAAGCGTGCTGCTGAAGATCGTGTTCTACATGACCTCTTTGCTGGCAATTGACCTGGCGAAAGGGAGTAATAAGGAAGAGTTGTTATATTTTAGACACTTTGAATAGAATGGGAAATTGTTATTCATATCCCATTCGATGACCAGGGTGCACATTATTTTTCCCATGCTCTAGTTTTTTCATAAAATGTATGCTTTCCCCACCTACCCACCCCCCCTCATTTCTCCTAATGACCACAGTTCCCACATCTGGACAGGACAGGCCTCTCTGCAAGGTCTTTCCTGTCTCTTTGACCTCCCTGGCTTTCCTCCTGGACAAAAAGCAGATCAGCTAGTGGAATTGCATCGGGAGTCTCACATCACGTGCTTTGTGGGAAATCAGTGAATGGAGCCCCCTTAGCTTCTGGAATATAAAATTCTGATCTAAACAAACTTGGGTCAAGAGCACATGGGGCCTAAGTTATAGAATCAGCTCTATTTGGAAAACTATTGGTAACTATTAAAACGTCGCCAGTAATTTTCATTGTGGGCCAGTACGAAATATACTAAAGATAAAAGGGAAACTTTGTATGGTGCCAGGGATCTGCTATAGAAAATGTTAGAAATTGGTGCTACAGTTCTCTGCTTCTCCCTGTAATCTGCATTTTACACAGAAATCAGGAAACATGCCCAAGTTTACTTGGTAAAAACAAATTTAAGAAATGAATGCTTCAAATCTTAATGTTGGCCTCATTTTCTACAGGAGGGGTGAACTGACTCAAATTCTATATATAAAGCTTTTGGGCTAGAATTTGGCTCTAAGCCTTTTGATATTTCTGATTCTTTTCCTGATGTGACAGGCACAGTGACATACCTCACTTGGGAGGAGAACAAAGAAAGACATAAGATAGCTGGTGTATTGTTTAGACTTAAATCTCAAGAAGTGGAGTGGAATAATTTATCTACAAGCTAAGCTAAAGAAAGAAAAAAAGAAAAGTATATCTAGATAAATTCCATTTGAATTTTAAAATTAAATATGAAGAATATAATCATAAAAGTAATTTTTTTAAATATATGCCAATATATTTTTGGAATAGACAAAGTCTTTGTAGGCATATAAAGAAAGGCAGAAACTATAAATAAAAGCCTACTAGATTTGATTCTATCCCCTTAAATAAAATAAAATTTCTTAAATTTGCACATGTAAAAAGAATAACCCAACAAGATTTAGACAGAAAATAAGCAACATATGATTAACTTGGCAGAGTTATTTTAAATTGGTAAGTAAAAGACAAATACTACCGTAATACAAAAATGAGCAGAGATTATGAACAGGCAATTAGCAAAAGAGGAAATACAAAAGTCAACAAAGTTAAACAAAGCAATCTCATAAGTAAACAAAGAAATGTAAATTAAAAGAAGATACCTTGTTAGCCAACTATCAAGATTTATTTTTCATGATGTCTGTATACAGTACTCTAGGAATTATAAATCAATAAACACTTTCTACAGGGTGCCTTAATATATATTCAGTTCTTTTTCAAAGTTAAACTATCAAGAATGTACTTTTTAAAAAAATCACGTGTTAAGAAACATCTGTGTAACAAGGATATTTATAGTAGAATTCTTTTTAATAACAAAAGGAAATGGCAGAAAGGGGTATGATTATTAATAAGTGGTAGAGTTAATGGGATTTTAATTCTCTCCTTAAATCTTTAAAAAATTTGTCCAAATATTCTGCAGTAAATATGTATTACTTTTTTTTCTTAAGTGATGATGGATCTTAAGAAAGATATTGGAAGGCTTTCACAGTGCCATATCAGACAGGGGCAGGTGATGGAAGTGGCTGGCCCTGGGGAAGAATATTTTATCACTGACATTGTTTAGAATTGTCGGCCCATGGTAATAATCAAAAGCAAACCAGCTCTTAGTTGGGATTTTTATTGTTTTTAAATTATTGCCTGCATCCTGGGCCATTGCTCCCATGGCATTCTCCCCTCCTCGGTACATAACCGTGGCTGCTGATGCTTCTGAAAAGAAAGAGGAAGGGGTGACACATCAATTTCAGCATCAAGTATGTAAAAATCACTCAAGATTGGTACTTTCTACCAGTTTCTACCATAAAATACGTAATCATTTCATGACTGCAAACACGGGAGCTTTTTTCCAGCTTACCTGGGTGATCCTACCTCAAGAGCGGAGTGGCACCGTTTTCACTTGGTCGGCTTTCATATTCTGCATGTGTGTGGAATCCCAAAGGAGTCTCATTTGTCCTATCAGACAGGAACTTCACAGGTGAGAGTTGTCAGCTGACTGAGAGGTATAGCTCCGCGTTTCCATCCCGGAGGAACCGTGAATGAGATGCCATATAATATGAATGGCTATCCCCCTAGGCACCCTATAAATTTATTATAAAGCACTGGATTTTGCAATAACAAAAATACCTTATGAAATTGGAGGAACGTGTAAAAATGAGAAGTTTCTGTCTCTTCAGGGTCGCAGTAGACCCCAGATTGTACTGAGTAGCAGGCCTGATTTCATTAACACAAGAGCAGGCCTGGTGTGATCCAGACCTGGCAGAAATTCTGCAGTGTGTGAGCGGCTCTGAAGTTTCTAGTGTTTGGGAACAGAAAAGTTAGATATGAGGAAGGAAAGAGCAAATGTGGACAGCTCTGTAGATTGAGAGGATGAGGACAGCTGGTTAGATGATACTTTGTTTGCGTTTAATATTCACTTTGTAAAAGATCGTCATAAAGGTCCGATTTGGGGTTTTGACTGAACTTGCGAGATTGGGGTGAGGGGAGGCCTCATTTGGGCAGCTGTGTGGAACAAAGAGCATCTAACTTAGGCTTTTGGTTTTTGAAAAAGTCTGTTGGGGTTTATGTAGCTCTGTAGATGTTTATTATTGCAACTGGCTTGGCATTTAGTTACCTTTTAAGGAAGTCCTAAGTAGAGGTAAAATTTGTAATATGGACATTACTCAAAATCCTACAAAAAGCAATCCATACCAGCTGGAGTTGTGTTTCGTTTATTGTGGCACAAAAATCTCTTCCCCTCTTTATTGTGTCAGCCAGTCAAGAGCGAGGGCAGAACATAAGGCCTCTTTCAGACGTCGGACCCTCAGTTTTGCTCCCCTGAAAAACCCTTTAGAATCTCAGAAAACAGTTTCCCAGTTTCAGTTGCCAACCGTAAGTGCAGGTATTGTTTATCTATTATATCAGTTTAGCGAGAGGACCATCTCACACTCATTAAGTTGATTTAAAAATGATCAGAAGAATCGCAACTGTGTCCTTCGAGAATATAAATGCCTCCGAGGCCATCTCCATTTTAGGAAAATCAGGTGTTTTACCTTTGCTCTTGCTTCCCCTCAGCATTTTCTCCTACAGCAGAAATAATGCGTTTAGTCATTTTGGAACAGCGGTTTAATACGTTAATGATTGCAGGTGCTGTTTCTAGAATTTTGGCTCTGCAAATGTGATCTGGTGAGTGGGTCAGAGGCAGTGAGTGAGGGTCCTGGGAAGTGAGGATTTTATGAAGCCAGGATGCACTGCAATGAAAGCACAAGCGTCCCACGTAATTAAAACACATGAGGCATCCGTGCTCTGTAGCCTGTCAGAGACACATGTGGCCTTATGGTGGGCTGAGAGGAGGGGAGGGGAGAGTGAAGGGGGCATTAAAATGATGCGAAACCAGAGAAATTTGGGCCTCCTGTTCCCCAGCTTCTGGAATTAAGGAATTGTTATATAATCCAAGCCAGCAGCATGAGGGGATTTGGCTAATAGTTAACTTAATTTTCTGGAATGTCCTTTTTTTCTGTAAGTCAGCCTAAGTGGAAAGAAAGTGGAACTCTTGTCAATGAATCAAATGGCGGGAGGGGCCGGCTGGGAGAGCTGATTCCCCCTGGATCTTGTACATATTACTCCATTCCTTGGCTGTACTTCCAGTGCAGGTTAAATGAATTGTTCCCATTAGCGAGTGGATAGGACAGCTCCTTTAGATGAAGGAGACTCTGTACTTTGAATGTCACCGTGAGGAAAAGGTAGCCCTCATAGAAAAGTTGACAGTGCCACTTGTGGCGGTATTTTACTGTCATTGTTAAAACTATATCAAATGATGGCTTACAGTGAGGCTCAGAGTTTCAGCATAATATATAATAATAATAATACTTGTGTCAGCTTGGAAGTGATGTCGGATTTCTGCGCAGCTTCGTGCTTTATCGGAGACGTGGTAGTCGTAGAAGCAGTACTTGGTGCCAGACTTGCTGTATGCGGCTGATTCATTCTGCCATGAGTGCTCCTGAGTCACATTCACTCTGATTAGTCACTTAGCCTTCATTTGCTGAAACTAAAATCCTGAATTTGCTTCCTCTGTGTACTTTTTATAGCCATATTTAAAGTACCCTTCAGTAAGTGACACCAAATATGACTGTTGGGGGAAAACTATTAATAATCAGGAGGATGTTGAGTTGGCTGAAAGGTTCCTGGTGTCTAAGTTCAAAGCCATGTGATATCATATTGACATTCCCATATTGGCAACAGGGAGATGGCTTGTTTTATTTGTTCTTTTACCTTGGAAAATGAGGCATAGGCTTTATTTGTATAAATAAAGAGTAACAAGATCAGTTATCTTCATCATACAGCAGTTGTAGGAATTATTTGGAATATTCAGATCATATATAAGAATCTCTTAGAATGCAAATTTAAAAATCAAGATGTTTGTATGGGAAAATATATAAGCAGGGAGAAATCCCTGTCACATACATTCCTTGATGGACATTGGTACCCGAAAAAAGTCAACAGGCCCTCAAGTGACCAACAATGCAAAGGGAATGTGCTAAGAGTTGGGCTAAATTAACATTTCAGTGCCCCCCGCCCAAACACTTTTTGCTCTTGAAGCTCATGGATGTGAAGAGCTATAATTGGGCTTCCCTAGGGAGAAGAAATGACATCTAGGAGCGTGGATGGGGCCGATGTGAAATGGATAGCCAGAATGGAATTTGGGTCACCCATTGAGGCTTGGGCCGATACTCTCGTATTGTAGGCTTTTCCCCCGAAGTACCATGAGTACAGGGACAATTGATATCTTGCTGTATCCCATCACCTAACACAGTGCCTAACAACATGGGCAGGGAGAAAACGATCATCCAGTCAGCCAGGTTATATAGATGGCAAGTCTCAGGTTTCATACTTGAGCAAATTCTACTTTGAGCTGAAAGATCAGATTGTCCCTTTGTTGTCCATTTATGAGATGGTCAAATAGTTTCACACTTTCCTTTGGTTCTGGGACCACGTGAGTGACGGTTTTGAAAACAGAAGTAACTAAAGCTACCTCCCTGGATAGGGGGTGATTTCCAAATTCATAAAGGCCTTGAGAGCGCTGTTTTAATGTTGTGTGGGTGAAAGGGCAGAGGGCGGGACACATGGCTGTGAGTGGCAGAGTGGATCACCATGCGTTTGCATAATATAATATCACAGGAGTCCAGTCTGTCCCTCTGGCAGCAAGGAGTGTCCCAGAGGCTTGGGCAGGTCTCCTCCTGTGTTGTTCACAGATAGGAGTAGAACAAGGGGCACTCATTTGTGCAGCAACCATCTAAACTCTGGTTTATCAAATCCCAACTGCACAGAATGAGAAGGGACAGCCAGGGCTTCCCTGGTGGCGCAGTGGTTGAGAGTCTGCCTGCCGATGCAGGGGACACGGGTTCGTGCCCCGGTCCGGGAAGATCCCACATGCCGCAGAGCGGCTGGGCCCGTGAGCCATGGCCGCTGGGCCTGCGCGTCGGAGCCTGTGCTCTGCAACGGGAGAGGCCACAACAGTGAGAGGCCCGCGTACCGCAAAAAAAAAAAAAAAAGCTAGGAGAGCCTTTTGGTGAAAATGTTAGTGCTGGTGGGAGGTGATGGGAGAACACAGGCAACTCTTGGAGCCAGGATTCAGACGTGTATCTCTGGTACTGTTTGCTGGGTGCCTTTGGTTTGTGGTGTGGGCATGGGAGGAGCCCTTAAAGGGTTCAGCCAGGGGAGGAAGTAACTGCAAGGACCACTGAAAACATCGTATGGCTGAGCTCCGGCCCCAACTCTGTCATACAGGGGCCAGTTGACCTTGAGCATGCCCCTCCACTTTTCCGACACCGTTTCCTCACTGTAAAATGGTTTAACAGTATCCTCACTGCTTACTTCACAGAGGGAGATGAGGGAATCAGAAGATGGGGTGAAAATATGCTGTCCACTGTACAAGAGTGAATAGGTTGTTACAATGGTGAACTTGCAATTTGCCCTTGAATAACCTTCAAATGAGCTTTTTAAAGTGTAGGACTCGGAAAAAAAACCCTCATGGAGATTGCTCCATCTTGTTTAAATGAGGATCAGATTGCTATTCTGGATGATGAATTGAAATTACCTGCAGAGGGACAGAGAGAACAGACTTCTTGTTGCCAAAGAGGAGGGGGAGGTGGGGGAGGGATGGATTGGGAGTTGGGGATAGCAGATGCAAACTATTATATATAGAATGGATAAACAACAAGGTCCTACTGTATAGCACAGGGAACTACAGTCAATATCCTGTAATAAACCATAACAAAAAAGAGTATGGAAAAGAATATATATATATAAATATATGAAACACTTTGCTGTACAGCAGAAATTAACACAACGGTATAAATCAACCGTACTTCAACAAAATAAATTTAGAAAAAGAAATTACCTGCAGAGGGACTGAACTGCAAGTTGGAGACAGCCATTTGCCTTAAAATAACCATTTAAGAGGGTAGCCGGGATTTCTCACGTTTTTGTTTGGAATCATCAACCAAGAGACTTCTGATTCTGTTTAGGTTTCTGTGTGGTTAAGCTGGCCAACTTTTAAGGGTGGCTGCTATTATATGCCACTTACGGGCCTCCATCCAGCCAACAAAATGTGGGCTGCTCAGAACAAAGGGAATCACGCAAAAGATTGTCCAAGAGGGCAGAGCCATCAAAACTCTAGTAAAAAGATGGTGGAGGGCTGGTGAGGGGCCGGTGGGATTCAAAGTCAGTTCTCC